ATCTTCCTATTGTTGATTTCAAATTTTATAGCATTGTGATCTGAGAAGATGCTTTGCAGTATTTCAGTATTTTTAAATTTATTGAGGCTTGCTTTGTGGCCTAACATATGGTTTATCCTGGAGAATGTTCCATGTGCACTGGAAAAGAATGTATATTGTACTGTTGTTGAGTGAAGTGCTCTGTGGCTGTCTATAATGTCAAGTTGGTGGATTGTATTGTTTAGTTCTCCTGTGTCTTTGTTGAGTTTCTTTCTAATTGTTCTATCTTTGATTGAAAGTTGTGTATTAAAGTCTCCTTCTATGACTGTGGAGTCATCTACTTGTCTTTTCAATTCTGTTAAAGTTTGATTTATGTATTTTAGAGCACTTTCATTGGGTACATAGATATTTATTATTGTTATGTCCTATAGTTCAGTTGATCATTTAATCATTATATAATGTCCTTCCTTGTCTCTTATGGTGGTTTTTGTCTTGAAGTCAATTTTATCAGAAAGTACTGCTGCCACTCCTAGTCTTTTTTGATTGCCATTTTCATGATGTATCTTTTCCCAGCCTTTGATTTTTAGTCTATTTTTTGTCTTTGTGTCTAAGGTGTATCTCTTGTAGACAGCATATTGATGGGTTATGTTTTCTTATCCAGTCTGCAACTCTTCATCTTTGGAGTGGTGCATTTAATCCATTCAGTGTAATTATGGATAAGTATGAATTTGTGGCTGTCATTTTGTTATGTGTTTTTTCATGGTGTGCTGATTTCTTTGTTCCATATAATTTTTTTCTTTCAGGGTTTTTTATATACCATGCCATTGCCTTCTCACCTGCATGGTTTCTGGTAAGAAATCAGAGCTTAGTCTTATTGGTTGTCATTTGTAGATAACTTTGTTTTTGCCATGCTGCTTTCAGGATTCTTTCTTTGTCTTTGGTTTTGGTGAGTTTCATGATGATATGTCTTGGTGATTTTCTTTTGGGGTCTATCCTATTTGGGATTCGTTGGACTTCTTGAATGGATATATTCTCATCTTTCATCATATCAGAGAAATTCCTTCCAACAAATCTGTGACTATTTTTCTCTGTGGTTTTATTTATCTCCTCCTGTTCTGGAATTCCAATTACATGTAAGTTATCCCTCTTGATGTAGCCCATATGAATCTTAGGCTTTCTTCATTTTGTTTTGATCTTTTTTTCTCATTGATCCCTTTCCAAAGAAGTGTTGAGATATTTGTCTTCAATCTCACTCATTCTGTCTTCCATTGGTTCAGTTCTACTCTTTTGCCCATTTAGTATGTTATCTGTTCTGAAAATTTGGTATTAATATTTTGGATTTCTATTTGTAGATTTTGTATCATTTCTAATTTTTCATTTCTTTTGTCATTTTGTTCTTGTATTGTCTTCCAAAATTATCCTATGGTTTTGTCAGTGTTTTCCTTAATTTTGTCGGTGTTTTCCTTGGTCTGTCTCTCAATCCATTGAAGGTACCTAAATATAATTCTTTTGAATTCCTTATCTGAGAGTTCCAATGCTGCTTTTTCCTCAGGGATGTGTTCTGGATCAGTATCTTGGTCTCTTGTTTCTACCACTTTATCTTGCTTCTTTGTGTGGACTGTGATGTTCTGTTGTCCCCAGGACATTGTGACATTGTTGTATTTATATTTATTTGGTGATTGTATGTTGGAGTGATTTCCCAAGATTTTCATTTTCTTTGTTTGTATTTATCTGAGTAAGCGGGCTACTGTGCTTCTCTATTTGTTAATTGTCAGCAGTTAAGCATTTCAACACCTGCCTCCTGGTGAGTGTAATAGAGAATGACAGTGTGTGCACAGATCTCTGTTAGCTGTTTTTGAAGAGCACGTAAGGGTAAGTCTGGCTCATATTGGCTGTCTTGTATCATTGGCCAGTTGGTGCAGAAGGGGGTGGTGGCCTTCACTCAGTAGGTGGAGCTGCAGGAAGTGTGGGTATGGTTGGGTCATATGGGCATGGTTGCTCTCTCCCACTCAGACAAAAACAACAACAATAATAATTGAAAAACATCAAAAAAGTAAACACAAAGGACGAAATACACATACCATAGAAACACACAGAAACAATCACTAAAAAGAGAAAGGGGGGGAGAAAAAAGGAAAGGCAATAAATGAGACAAAATGTTTAAAGAAGTACTTTAAAAAGACAAAAGAAATATATATAGAAAAAGAGAAAATAAAAATAACCCACAATACCTGGGGAGGGGAGAATAAAAGAAAAGAGCTAGAGTAAGCAAATAATGAAGAAAAAAATGGGAAAAATGTAAAAAGAAAAACAAGGGGTGGGAAGAACCACAAAAAAAGAAAACAATGGGAACCAGGAAATGGCAAGAGAAAAAAAGCCAAAAACTTGAACCTGGGAAGGGAAAAAGAAAGAAAAAAAAATCAAAAGGAAGGGGAAAAAAATGAAAAGAATAATTTAAAACAAGCAAACAAAAAAAATCTGAGGGGGACGGGGCAGGGCCCCCAGATTCCGTCAGAGCACACAAACTGGGATGGAATTCCTACTGGTCCAGGAGATGGGTGGAGGTGAGGGATGGCTACACTTCCATTCACCAAGAGGGTGTGGGGTATAAGAGTAACAAGGGGAGCAGTGCACCTTCCCAGTTTTCAGCCTCCAGTATATCCATGCTGTCCTCAGCAAGCAGAGCCTATTCTTAGGTTACTGGCACATGAACAAGAGCACTGTCACTTTAAATATCCAAAATGGCCACACTGCTTGTAAACATTCAAATTCTCTGTACCCCTGCCCCCAACCAACAGCTGAAAGTCCACAGCTCAGTTTGTCTCCTTCTTTACTGTTTCCCTTTTTAGTCATCAGCCACCAGTGCAGTTGTCCATGCAGCCTTTGGCAAGCAGAGCTGGTTTTTAGGTTAATTCTCAGGTCCTAACACCACTCAGAAGTATTTAGGCTGTCCATGCCAGCAGGATAGCTGACAGTCCACAGCTACATTCACTGTTTTCATTGCAGATTCTTCTACTAGTTGGTGTTTAATCTGCTTCTCTATCCTTCCTTTCAAAGCTTTGGGCTCTAGGATTATCTTCTGTATCTGTGTCAGTTGGTTTCTCTTTTCTTCATTGAAGCAGATCTGTGTAGCTTGACTGTTTATTCCACCATCTTACCAGAAGCCTCACCAGCTGTATTCTATTAAAGCAGACATTAAAGAAATTTGTAAAAATGTAAAACAATGGCACTTTTAAACTGATTTTTTTAATATATATTTTTTGTAATAATATTTATGTTAACATGTCATGAATGTTATTTTAAAGTGAATTAACATACATATTTTTAATTACTTCTGTTTAATATCTAGTACAATAAATATTGACATATATAATCCATATTAACAAAAGCTCTTTGGGTCCTCAATTTTAAATTTAAGAGTTTGAAGAGGTATTGAGACCAAATTGTTTGAGAATCTCTGCTATCTACTATATTTGTTTGGTTTCAGCTTAGTAGTTTCAGAAAGCATGAATTTATGATTCAAATTAGTTCATGGTTTAAATAAGAAATATTTGTTTAGTTAGTGATTCAATGAAAAATTAATATATGAATGAAATTTGTTTGAGTTTATAAAGTACAGTGGTTTGTAATTGTTTTATATTCCTGATTATAGTATATGTTTTATAGGTAATCGTAAGAAATAAAGTTGTATTGGCTAAAAGACTTTACCTCAATGAAAAAGGCTGGAATAGATACACTAAGCATTTCATCATACTGCTGTCAACTAAGGTAAATCTCAGTTAACCTATGTTATGGAAAAAGAGACTCTGGATCTTGAATGTTGAGACTGTCATATGTCTTAGCTAAATTTATGGATTTTAAAATACAGTTTTGTACTTGTGCTTTCTTGTGGATAGAATGAAAAGTCTAAGAAAAGAAAAGAAAAACTATTTCCATTTACCTATCTTCCATTGTAAACCACTTTAAGCAATTTTTCTAAGTTTAATAACATTGCAAATATTATAGTCACTATTCTATTTTTTAGTACTTAAGTTAAATAGAAATAACATGTAAGTAGCCGTATTTGTGAAGTAGTTGCATTATTGATGCATTCTATGTGATTTTATGGGAAAATTCAGTGAGCGCACTAAGGAGAAAAGGAGAGAACTGACATTTAATGTGATTCTACTCTGAATGATCGGAAGGAAGATTGGGCCATCTACTTCTGTAGAGATACAGCCTTGGAAACTCAAAGATGGGTCGCTATGAGTTGGAATTGACTCAGTGGCAGTGAGTTTGGTTTGGTTTTAACTATGAGTGAAGCCATTTGCTTTAGTCATTTCATTTAACTCTTACAGCAGTCTTTTGAGATATGTGTTATGGTCTTTATTTTATGGATAATAAATTATTAGTCTCAAATAGATTAAATATATTTTCCCCAAGGTTACACAGCCAGTAAATGGCTAGGATTCACACCTAGATCTGAGTGGCTTTGCATCTCCTGTTCTTGCCACTGTACCACACTGCCTCCCATGAAAGGCCTATAGGAAAGACCTTTATCCTATAGGGAAAAAAAATCTTATTCCTGATATTTTATGTACTGTGGAAAAATCCATCATCAAAAGAACTGTGTGGTAATATCACTGATATGTTGAAAGAGGACTTATTTTTGTTGTTTTGATCCATTTCTTATGGCTATCTCCAGTTTGTTTTCAGCTCAGTAGTTTCAGAAAGCATGAATTTATGATTCAATTTAGTTCATAATTTAAATAAGAAATATGTGTTGAGTTGTTGTAATACAATATTAATAAGTACTTGGTGCCTAAAAACAATTATTTTGCTACCTGAATAAATGAATAAGTTTTTTGATTCCATGCATTTTATTTAGGATACTGCAGACCTTGCACTGTTACAGAAGTTGACACAGAAATGGAGAAACTTAATGAATAAATTTAAAGAGGATGTGGAACTAAATGAAGAGTCCACAAGGGAGAAATTGCAAACTGTTATGAATGGCCTTATCAAATGGGAGGAGTTCCTCAAAAATAATATGTGGGTCTCAATAAATCTTGTTTATTACTATTATTATACTATGTCATGTCTGACAACTCAGACCAATTCTTTCTCTCTTTCTCCTTCCTTTTCCGTCTCCCATTTGTCTCTCTCTCTTTTATCTTTTAATTACTCTAAGGTTGATTTTTGAGGAGGCAGCCCTTACAAGGCTGCAATCCTGCAATCTGCAGTTTCTAGTGATAATTGTCTCTGTAGCCCATCATGATCTTCCTGCCCAACTAGTCCAACACTTTTCTTTCCTTTTTTTTTCTCCTAAAAATAGCAAACTTAAATATCTGGATCCATCTGCAATATGGATAAAAATAAAATCAGAAGGTCACAGTTATAGGAAACCTGATTTTGACTGAACAACATCATGCTTTGTAACAATTAGAAAAATCTGTCAGTGAAAGAGACTGCCTATAAAGTAGTTAAATTGAGGCTAGATGACTAAATCACCATCATGATTAGTGGGAGTCTATACTTTGGATGAAGGCTGTATTCAGTGATTTATAACTTTTCTTTAAATTTTAAGATGATCTTTCTGTTGAGGAGACATATAGGTACCGTTTCCATTTTAAATTGCTAATAGTGGTTTATGCCTCTAAGAGGTTCCCTAACGAGTGGATCTGGGCATTCTGGAAGCTGAAACTGGTACATCTTCAAACTGGTTACTGCTGTCACATGCCTATTTTTACTATTTGTTGACTTTAAGCTAGGAGGGGAGCAGAGGTAGAGTGGTTCTCTTTTTCTCTTCAGAAACTTCTCTAGCAATATCTCTTTCCTTGTGAGACTTCACAAGAAAATTTCTTACCAGAAATTGGAGCTAAGCCTTGAGTCTTAATTACTTATTAGACTTCCTTTCTATTTACATAATGTTTTGGCAGTATTCAACAGGAATTATTCTTACAGTGATCTAATTTTGAACACCAAATACTCAGGGGTCACCCTTTTAGGACTGTCTTGGCCCATTATACTGTAACTTGTTTGCTCAGGTCTGATTAACTTCTAAGTTTATATTTATATTTGTAAATTTAAAGATGAATGCCCATGGGGAATGCCTTTAAAAATCATAAGGGGGAAACAAAATATTAATTTGTTATATATTATATAGACTCATGATTTTCTTTTGCTTATAACTTGGTATGGATCCTTCTTTTGTTTTTTTCATCCAGTGGAAAAGACAATTCACCTCTTATTCAGGGAGATATATTGGATTCAGTTCATCAAGACTTTAAGCAATGGGTAAAGGTAAGACTTTCTAATAAACAGCTGTATAATCAGTTAAGTAGGATGGATTGACACAATACCGACAACAGTAGACTCAGACATACCAATGATCATCAGAGTTGTGCAGGACCTTATACATAAAGTCACCATGAGTTGGAACCAATTCAACAACTAACAACAAAAGCTTGCCACTCCTCACCTACAACTGAAGCATATCTCATCCTTTAGAAATGTTGTATTAAGTTTTATGAAAGAGAAGGAAAACAAGACAATCACAGGGACTTTTAAAAGCACAATTAATTATTTTGGTTTTATTGCAGATTTGGAGGGTCAATTAAAGCTAGGCTGCCAGAAAAAATGGCAGTTAGGGTAGTTCTGATTCTCCTAATTGTCAGACATAAGTAACAGCTGTGTCTCTCCTGTACCTGGCTTTTGTGTTAAGGACAAATTAAACTTTAAAATTAATAATATCTTTTTAAAAAGGTTTGAACTTCCTAATAATTTCACCTATCAAATCTATCAGGATATAGTAGACTGACAAAGGATAACATATAAGACACTGAAATATCCCTAAAATTAATATCAAATTCATGGTCTGATGAAATCTCATCCAGATCCCAGGAAGTCATTATTTTTTTCTCTTGAAATGACTAAAGTACAGTATTTTTAGAATCGAAGATGTTTGTTGTCCTATTTACAAACCGTCTCATTTATTGACCTTTTTTTTTTTACTGATAACCTGACACTTGACATTGTATAGATAAAATTGAAAAAAAATCATGTTTGTTCATTATTAGGAATAATAATCATTCTCATTTATTAAGCACTTAGTAAAAGGAACTAAAAGTATTTTCCATACATTATCTTACTTAATCTTCAGGCAACCATATGATACAGGTTTTGTAATCCACAGATCAGGATATTGAAACTTTAGAAATATTAAGTAACTAGCCTAAGTTATCTGTAAATGGTAAATGTTAAAGTCAGTATTTGAGTCCAGATCTCTCCAACTGCAAAATCTTTACTCAACTTGCTGTGTTGCACTGCCTTCAATAACTTTTATTGAAAGGTGAATTATTTGCTTCTATTTTCTGAGTTGCAAATGATGGCAAACTTTATATGTATATTGTACTTTATGTTTTCCAAAAATTTTATTGATATGCCTTTTATAGAATTTGGACTTGTTTAGACAGAGGAATAAACATACCCTGTATTCACCAGGAGCTTTTCCAGTGTACAGTGTTTTGTGTAAACAGATACATTACAATCTAACATGTTCTTACTAAAGCAGGTAATAATTAAATGTGCTCAGGTCTGTAGGAATTAATTGTCTGGCACTAATTTTTTATTCCCATAGGATTTAATATAATGGTTTTTATCCTGGTAAACTATGGATTATCATGTACAGTATCAAAATTAATTTAAATTCATTTTAATTAAAAAATAAAGTATATGTCACATATCATTTCTTTGGATGAGAAATTATATGAGCAAATAATAATAGGACATACAACTCCAAAATAATTGTGAGTCACTGGGAAATAAGGACTTGGGTAGACGTTCATGAAATCATTAGTGAATAAAGTGTTATTCCTACCTCTCCCCCCTTTCATTTTCTAGATGCTGAATGATGATAAAGAAAAGTTTACTGGGGATAGTCTACTGGCAAAATATGACTCTCTCAAGATTATTAAATATTTACAAGAAAACTGGACAGATCTTGGACTTGGGATATTTGCTCGCCATAAAAATATGGAGGGGAAAATGCCACCAGAGCGCCTCTACATGGAGGACATTAACAAAACCATAAGAAAACTCTACAAAGAATATGAAGTAAGAATAAATGGTGACAATGGTAAGCAAAGACATGGTGATAATTAGATTTCTTGATATTATAAGCATTTTAAGAGTAATCATTATTTTAAATATAATTAATATTGAAAGTCAAAATAATACATGTAAAATAAACCAAAACAGTTCCCTGCTATATTAGTTTCCTAGGGCTGCTGTAATAAAATACCATAAACTAGTAGCTTAAAACAACAGAAATTTATTCTCTCAGATTTCTGTAGGCTAGAAATCTGAGATCAAGGTGTGATGAGGGCCATGCTCTCTGAAAGCTCCAGCCTCCATCTTCACATGCCATTTTTCCTCTGTGTATGTGTTTTCTTATCCTCTTTTTATAAGGACGCAAATAGGAATGTCCTTATATGTGCCATTCCATGGAAGGAAGATGGGACAGTCTGTTTCTCTAAAGATTTATGGCCTCAGAAGCCCAATAGGGGTCACTATGAGTTGGCATCAACTTGGTGGTAGTGAGTTTGGGGTTTTTTGGGTCTACTCCAATATGGTCTCATTTAATTTACATCTACGAAGACCTTATTTCCAAATAAGGTCACATTCATATATACTGGAGGTTAGGACTTCAATATGTCTTTTTAGAGTATATAATTCAATAAAACCTGCCTTACCCTTGTCCATTTGAATCACACTCCCCAGAGGGAACCAGTTTTAACATTTTCTTTTCTCAGGACCTTTTGGTATTTACCTCCAAGACTGTACCTCTGTTTCTTCACTCATTGTACATATTATCCACTGTTTTGATAGAAACTAACCTGCTCTAACAATCCCACTTCCCTTTCCCTACCTCCTGGCATAGTTATGTCACTGTTTTTGTCTTAGTTATCTTTGTTGTTGTGGTGCTATCGAGTTGGTTTCAACTCAAAGTGACCTTATATACAACAGAATGAAATATTACATGGTCTTGGACCATCCCCATGATCGTTGCTATGTTGTTTTTGTTGTTGTTGTTATGTGCCATTGAGTCGGACCTGACTCATAATGAACCCCTCCTTGGGTTTCCGAGGTGGTATCACTATGGCAGCAGATTGCCCAACCTTCTTTCTGAGGAGGGGCTGGTGGGTTTGAACCATTAGCCTTCTGGTTAGCAGTCAAATGCCTTAGGCACTATGCTACCAGAGCTCCCAATCATTGCTATACTGAGCCCATAAAATTGAGCCTATCCTTGCAGCCACTGTCAGTCCATCTCGTTCATGGTCTTCTCCTTTTATGCTGACCCTCTATTATACCAAGCATGATATCCTTATCCAGGGGTTGGTCCCTCCTGACAACATGACCAAAGTGCAAGAGGTGAAATCTCTCCATTCTTGCTTCTAAAGAACATTCAGCTGTGCTTCCTCCAAGACAGATTTGTTCATTCTTCTCTCAATCCATGGTACATTGAATATTCTCCACCAACACCACAATTTTAATGCATCAATTCCTTTTCAGTGTTGCTTATTAATTGTCCAGTTTCCACATGTATATGAGGCTATTAAAAATACCATGGCTTGGGTCAGGTGCACCTTAGTCTTCAGAGTGACATCTTTGCTCTTCAACACTTTTAAGAGGTCCTTTTCAGCTGATATGCCCAACGCAGTACATCATTTGATTTCTTAACTGCTGTTTACATGGGTGTTGATTGTGGAACCAAGTAAAATGAAATCCATGACAATTTGAATCTTTGCTCCATTTATTGTGACACTGATTATTGGTGCAGTTGTGAGAATTTTTGGTTTCTTTATGTTGAGGTATAACCAGTGCTGAAGGCTGTAGTCTTTGATCTTCATCATAAGTGCTTCAAGTCTTCTTCACTTTCAGTAAGCAAGGTTGTGTCATTGCAGATCGCAGGTTGTTAATGAGTCTTCCTCCCATCCTGATTCTGCATTATTCTTCATATAGTCCAGCTTCTCAGATTATTTGTTCAGCATACAGATTACATAAGTATGGTGAAAGGATACAACCCTGGCACACACCCTTCCTGATTTCAAACCATGTGGTATCCCCTTGTTCTGTTCTTTCCCTGTGTAAACCTTTCCTCTTGGTCTGTTACAGGTTCCTTATGAGCACAATTAAGCATTCTGGAATTCCCATTCTTTGCAGTGTTATTCCCATAATTTGTTATGATCCACAGAGTGGAAAGCCTTTGTCTTGTCAACAAAACACAAGTAAACAGCTTTCTAGTGTTCCTTTTTCATCCAACAATATCCATCATTCCATTTCCTCTCCTGAATCTGGCTTGTATTTCAGGCACTTCCCTGTGATGTAATGCTGCAACTGTTTTTGAAATATCTTCAGCAATATTTTACTGATGTGTAATATTAATTATATTGTTGGATAATTTCCATATTCTATTGGATAATCTTTCTTTGGAATAGTCACATATATGGATCTTTTCTAGTCAGCTGGCCAGGTAGCTGTCTTCCATATTTCTTGGCATAAAGAAGTGAGCACCTCTGATGCTGTATCCATTTGTTAAAACACCTCAGTAGACATTCATCAATTTCTGGAGCCTTGTGTTTTTGCCCATTCCTTTTGGATTTCTATCTGTAGTTTTAGAATAATTTCTAATTTTTCATTTAATTTGTCATTTTGTTCTTGTATTTTCTTCCAAAATTCTTGTAAGGTTTTTTCTGTGTTTTCTTTG